GCTGCAGAAGTTTCATATGTCCATGAGCAGCAAACAGAAAACCCCTGTCACTTAGAAATTTTTAGTGCCAGAAAAATGGAGGCAATCAGCCCAGCTGAGATATGTAGCACCAGAGAATATATTTAGGATCCTCCTCTCCCCTGCCAAGTTTAAAACACAACAAAAACACTCTCCATTGTTTGTTAATTATATTTTAGAATGACCACCAACTCCTATAAACTTGCTCAGTCAACATCTGCAGATCAGACATGGCAACCTGGGATCTGCCTATGTAAACCAGATGATTCATAAACATATTTTACTTTCTCTTGGAGAAGCAAATGGTACCATTTGTTTGCATTAAAATAAAAAAAAAAATCCTTCTTAGAATTAAATTACCTATTTGATGCTTCTGCACTCCATTTGCATATACAAACACAAATTTTCTAGTTACTCACATGGTTATACTTCCACATATATTCTAGTGGGGAATACAACAGGGAAAAGCAGTATGCACTAATGACTACAACTCAGCATTAAGTATGTGTTCATGTCCATTAGCTTCATGTGTTTAACATGATGTACTGAATCAAGGACTATTCCATACCCTACGCAGAACAGGCTGTACATAACTATTAAGAACGTAGATTCTTAATATCATGTCTTTAAGATCATGTTCAAGTTCTGAATTAGGATACCAAGAAATACTAGACACTGAGCAAAGACAGAATCCTAGAATAGTTTGGGTTGGAAAGGTCCTTAAGATCATCTAGTTCCAACCCCCCTGCCGTGGGCAGGGACACCTTGCATTAAACCATGTCACCAAGACTCCATCCAACCTAGCCGTGAGCACTGGCAGGAGTGGAGCATTCACTACTTCCTCGGGCAACCCATTCCAGTGCCTCACCACCCTCACAGTAAAGAACTTCTTCCTTATATCTAATCTAAACTTCCCCTGTTTAAGTTTGAACTCGTTACCCTGTGTCCTGTCACTACAGTCCCTCCCCGGCAATCCTACAGGCCCCCTTCAGGTACCGGAAGGCTGCTATGAGGTCTCCACGCAGCCTTCTCTTCTCCAGGCTGAACAGCCCCAACTTTCTCAGCCTATCTTCATACAGGAGGTGCTCCAGCCCCCTGATCATCCTCGTGGCCCTACTCTGGACTTGTTCCAGCAGTTCCATGGCCTTTTTATGTTGAGACACCAGAACTGTAGGCAGGCACAGAACTGCTTCTAGTAAAATTGTTAAATCGATGTTAATACATACGAATGTATTCACATCAAAATCGTTTGAACTAACCATACATATATATGCTTACAGAATCACAGTATAGACACTGTCAGTAAAAAGACAGGTGACTCATGAAGAAAAGATTTAAAATTGTATGTTTTCAGTTACACCTATTATACTTTCAGAAAAGAAATCCTGCAAGTACTACTGCACAGAATTATGATCTTTCAAGATCTGGAATTTTTTCAATTAGGGAAGAAAACATTACTATTCTTCCTCAACTCTAGCAAAAATCAGAGAAATGGAAAAAAAAAGTGGTTTTGCTGAATAAATTAAAAAAAATTGAATGGAAAAGAACAGAGAAATAAATAATTGGAATTGATGCAGTCAATATACTGATCAAAACTTAACATAGTCTAGAGGTTTCATCTCAAAACTAAAATAACAGTTACAAAAAATATATTGATAAAATGATTCTAAATCTACTCAGTAAATTAATTAGTTAAATTAAATATTAATTAAGATAAATGTGATACTGGATAGGGAATAATTAGTGCTAAAGTTAGGAACAAAAAGCTTGATCTGGAATGCTGTGTACAACTGGTCACTCATGCTCCAAGTAGAGCAAGAATAAAACCTTTTAAGATATTCACAGGAACAGTATGTTGGAAAGGGAAAGTTGAAAAGCTGTATTAGAGGTCTCTAAAAATAAATCTTAGGAAGAATATTAGGAAGGATGAACCTTCAAATTTGAAAAACAACGTTTACAGGGTGAACAAGCACAAGCAGATAATAAATTCAGCTTGAAAAACAGATTATTTCTAGCTATCAGAAAAGTAGTGAATTCAGCTTTATGTCCCACTTCAATTTAATAGACTATATGAAATTGTTTTGAGTAAGAAAAAAAAAAGCTGTTACCTTTTTGAATCTAAAATTATCCAACAAACTGTAAGAATAAACAGTATTTGTTGAGAAGTTACGCCTCTTTTCATTATAGATTTGCTTAAAAATTTTGAGGTATGCTGAGAACCAAGAAGCTAGAGTTCCACCTGAAACTGAACACAAAGGATTTAATCTTTAAATAAAGCATGCTAAGATGATAAAGCCTGAGGATAATATTATAACTAAAGAAAAAATAATAATGGAAAAATGTTTCCAAGAATTTTTCATTGAGTTTTGCTGAAATATTTCAGAATTTATTTGATTTGGATGAAACTAGAACATCTTGACATCAAATAAAATGAAACAGTATAACTGATTTTATTAAAATCCTTAAATTTATTTCAGTGTTTTCGTGAGTGAATTTATTTTTTATTCATTTCTGCACTGCTGTTCAGTATTCCATTTAGTTGTTTAATGAAAAAAAAAAAGTGTAACCTTTTAATGATCACACCCTGCTTCCTACTCCACAAGCTTCCTTCTTTCTTTCACCAAGAAAAATAAGGCATACGGCAGAGCTGAAAAAAAAGATGCACTGTACATTCCAGTTCGCTTCCCACCAAACCCAGACTTGCGACCTACAGCCTGAGGAAGCAAAGAGCTGTGTCTTCCTACCATAACTATGCTCACAAGATAGATAGACCTGATAAACCCTACTAATGGAACCACGTTCACAGAGGAACTGCAATGCACTGAAAAATGAAGGTTAATTCAGAAAGAAGGGACTTAAATAGGTCATCAGAAGTGGCTTTGTACACTTGCTACAAATAATTTATTATATTCTTACATTTCTGCTGTTTCATTATTTTTCATTTTCCAGTGCTAAATCTGTATGCTCAAAAGCAAATGGAAAATTTTTCCATATTGAAAGGCTAAGACTACAAAGAAAAATCAAAACTGATTTGAAATAACATTTCAATTTAGAAGTGTTCATAAGTAAAATAAGGATTTTTAGCCTACAGCCCACAAGTTGGAAAGACACTGCCAGCAAAATCTTATGCTGAAAGTCACTTACTTCAGAAGTGAGAGATAGAAAGAGTTAATGGTTGAAGAGAGCAGGAAGTAAAGAAAATGAAGAGGAAAGCTTGACAGGCTTCAAGAGATATTATTGTTTTATTTCCTATTGTGAAGATTATCATTCTATAGTCAATCACATCATTAAAGGAAACAGTATCTTCCCCAGTTGTTTATATCCTTCGCTTTCTTACACACTTCATCAGCTAAGCAGCAGTGTATACAGTTTCATGCACTTATTTTTTAACAAGTTTTAATATTAATACGGTTAAAACATTCTAATTCTACATATTCAACTGTTATGAACTGTATTCCCCGCTAATTGCTTCTAAATCCCATCCAGTAGATTGGAATATTTCTCTCTGGACTATCAAACTGAATTAAATGTTGACTAGCAGTCAAGCAGAAATCAAAATATCGAATTTCCATATATCTAAATATATTCCTTAATAATCAGCACCTACTACTAGTAATACCTAAACATTAATAGTAATTAAATAAAATGTAAAAAGAAAATAGTAATACTGATAGTAATAGTAATTAAATATGGGGATAACATACTTGAAATTTCTTCTTTCATGACTCAATGCTTTTTAATTTCCTTTTATTTCTCTGAAAGAAAAGAATTCCAGATGAAAGTGTGCTATAATAATAATCTAGGATATTAAGTAAGCTATAAAATAGGCAATTTTTAGTGCTGCCTTTTTGTGTTCTCTATCTCAACAGAAACTTACATTTTATATAATCTACCGTTTAATAAGATAATTTTGCCACATTAAATAGGGGCTTTTTTTCACCAGAACTTCAAAAACTTTCAAACAGACCACTGCCTCTTCATTTATAACTCTCTTTACACTTTTTGGAATATCACATTTCATCAGTGTTTATAAGAAATTGTTCATCTTTCTGCTTAGATGCCATCATGTCTGTGTTTCAACAACTGGAGGGCAGTTTTTCCTGAAACCTCACACTTCCTAGGATAGGAAATGCTGTGCCTATTCTAAACTCAATCATGAAATTGGATCAGGCATATTTAACTGAATATGTTTCAAATAATTACTTCCATAGCCTAAAAATGTCAATACAGTTGATGAAAAACAAGTAAAAAGATGATATTTGCTCTTACACGCAGGGCAGTCTGAAGCCTTTACATTCAAGTATCAGTTCTTACTCACCTTGGGAGGTCTACTGATGTAAATAGATTTATTTGAATGAGCAAAAAGTGCAGGATTAACATTCTTGTCAATGAGTCACTTTATTCAGCTTCATACAATTCATGATAACTGCACTACATAAATTTTTGACTTTACATTGCCTGAACATCTACTATCAAAGGCTTTGCATGCAGAAACTCAACCATCTCTTGCAGCATCATTTTAACTATATGAAGATATTTTTAAAATCCAGCTGCCTAACACAAGTGCCAGCATACTATACTTTGTTCCTGTTACAGACAGGAGTAAAGAACAAACAAGATACCTTTAGATAAATCCAGCTGCACTAATCAGGGACCAAATGCCACTACATTGATTACGATCACAAAGAATATAAGTAATCCATATTAGGACACATTTCCTGCTTAAAGACTTTACTATTCACAAAACATCAATACTGATTTATACACATAGCATGCAAGTCAGAATGGACCATGCATAACATAAGGGATTAAAAAAAAAACAAACAAAAAAAACAATGAAAAGGGGTAAATAGCTAGAATGTCAAACGCACACTGAGGTAATGCAATCAATGGCAAACACTAAGCTTTTTAAAAACAAATTGTTAACACCTCTGAGGTTCATCTTAGCATGCCACCATCATGAAATGCAACTTTTCACTCACCAAAGTAGAGTTACGTGAAGCATCACCTGAGACCTCGGGTGTTCTTGTGCTGTTTGGAAGTCTGTGAGGGTTACGAGCTATCGCTTGGCACCAGCCCAACATTTTCTCCTTCCACTTATCCTTTCTTAATTGCTGAAATTCTGAAAATAATTTAGATTCCCTGAAACATTGACACTTTGAATTTATTGCATGCATGTCTCTGGAGGCATGCCTTTAAAAACAGCTTTTAAAATTACATCTAAACAAAGTAATAAACATATTTTTAGAAGAACATGTTTATTTAAAGTACTCCAAAGGGTTATGCCATGCAGGTTAGAAAAGAACTATGCACTTTCAGCACACCTTGCATGCATTAATACTATTTCAGTGTCAGCAAATACAGTGCCTTTTCTCCATGTTAAATCCACAAGTTGTCACTTTAATTAAAAAAAAAAAGTCATTTTAAAGGAATTTTATTATAAAATAACTGAGACTAGCACCACTCCTAAAACTATATAACATCTGGATGCAACACCCAACATCCCCTGAAACAACTAGAAATAACTGTAAAGCAATAGCAGTTATTAAATACAAATCAACACATACACATATATACTCACGCCCACACAATCAGAATACCTGGCTTATCTTGAAGTGTTACACTAGGATGTATTGTAAATGGCACAAAGTAATGTACACACCCCAGCAGTAAATGCTACACGCCGACTGTAAGATGCATGTGAACTTAGTTTTAGTTTGCAACAGTAACAAAATACCTTTAAGGTAATACTAACGCATTCTGCAAATGCAGCAGTACTAAGAAGGTTTTTAAGTGTAAGAAACCCTCCTAAGTGTTTTTAAAATTTCAGTCTACTTTTCCCAGTTGAAATAGGTAATGCAGTCATTCAGTGCAGAACGTTGCTAATAAATTACAAAAAATAACTTCAAGCATTTTTTTTTTCCACAACATCTGAAGCAATTTATAATCTGGTTATTTATAACATTTTTAAATTTAAAATATGCCATTCTGTAACACTATTAAACATAATAAACAAAAAGATTAACTTACCAGACTGAGTGTCCAGTACCCCAAATGAGGTTATTACTAGACTGAATAGATTTGAAACACACATACAGTAATGCCTTACAGTAAGACCTTACATGGTAAAATAGCACTTATTTAATGTCATTGAGTTTTATGTACTTTGACAGTAGGGTTTTGGTTTTTTTTCTGCTATACATCTCCATGCTGTACACAAGACATGCTAGTGTTTACAGCAGGCTTTCATCTTCTCATGTTTTGATTCTCACGAAGTACAGCCCCTCCTTTAAGTACTACTCTACCATTTCCACTTTTACCATAAGAATTTCCAAGTATGACACGCAGAAAGCTGTATTTCTCCACACAATCTCATGGAACTGATAGGAAGGAGTAAGTGAAAACTAGCCTTAGCTTTATTGCACTGGAGATTATTAGATGAGTGGATGAATGAGTCTACAGGTGAAATCACAGATTTTTCAGTCTCTTGAAATTTTAACATGAGATAAAAATATGTGACAGTAAAGCATTGGTAACATTGCAACGCAGCCTGTTTCTACTATAAATTATTTCAGCTGTAGACTTACAAGAATTCAGCCCTCCAGAGCATGAATACAACCTGGCAAAGGCTTCACAATGAGAAATCCAGCTGAAACACCAACTAAACTTCTTGTCACCAATTTAGCAGCAGTTACAATCCCCACTGACTCAAAGCATCTACTGTCTTGCAAACCCTCGTTTGTTATGAGCGCTGGTCTGCGTTCTCCCATGATCAGTACGTTCCTGTTGTGCTTTTTCAGTTTTTTGGTTTTTTTTTTTTTTTTGCAGATGCCTAGAAACTTAGGTTGAAGCTGGGTAGGAAAAAAACCAAAACCAACAAAATCAACTCTTACAATATAAAATTAAAAACCCACAAACAAACACCCCCCCACCCCCAAATGCATACAGAATATTTCCCCCACTATTTAAAAGATACTTCTCCCCAGTGCACTGTTCAGATGGAAAACTTCTTGACCATTCTCCCAAAATTGGACACAAATTTCCAAACTTTCTATTACTAAAAAAAACCTGCAAAATCCAAACTTTAAATAGTCACTCATTCACTTCCTTCTCTGGACCAAGTGCACACAAACATGCTTTTTGCAAATGCAGAAAAATTAACCTAGTATATTTAAGATATGTGGCTGAAAAGATACCCTAGGGATAAAACATAGGGTTCCCAAGTTCCTAGAGCTCTAGGGTCAGTTTAAAAGTCTTCTACACCTACTGATGAGCAGCTGTTCACAGGAGTAGTAAGCTAAGGCTTCCTTTTGAACCATCATACTCTAAAAATCATTTACTAAGAGGGAAAGGGAAGGGCCTTTCTCATATTCTATTAATTCTGATGAATTATTATCTTATTATTTTAGGCTTGTATTTTAATATAGCTTTATGTGTCAGGCTACTAAGTTTGGTTCTGATTGTCTACCAAATTTTCAAGTGAGCTTTTAGCAGAAATGAACCAGTATTGCTGCATGTTTCAGTGGACAGCAAATTCTTCCAGACATGTCCTTAGTGTGGAGAAGCAGTGTAAATTCCACCACCTCTAGAGTCTAGTCCTCACACTTGGGGTGGATATAAGCCAGTTTAACCTGAGAATACAACTCAACATATCAAATACAACCATACAATGTGTTATGCAGCAAAGCTGGAGTTTGATCACAGATTAAATGGAAAAATAACTTAGTCTAGGGAATATTCTAAATCTTCTACAAAATTACATTGAACAGCTGGATGCTCCTTAGAACTTAGTACCTGAGAACACAAAAACATAAACCCCAGGCAACAGCTGTAGTTCAGTATGACAAAGGTAACTACTTGAAACTTTTATGAGTTTCTACACAGTCAAGACAGGTATAAGGCATTTTAACAATTTGCAACAGATCCTCTATAATATCAGCTGGAAAGAAGTTTAAGTACTCAAAGTTTTACAACCTTTTAAAAACCTGTTAGTTTAGAGCTCCACAGCGTCTACCTGACCCACAGGTGTAGTGAACAGTTGATGTACAAGATCAGTGCATGCCATCTACCTGCGGCAACAGTCCTCCAAAGATCTACAAGACCATTCCAAAGTGATACCACCATCACCCTTTTGTAAGTGATCAATCAATCCTTTCTGTGCTGCCTGTACCTGTGAAAACAGGGAATTGCCTAATTATAGCAACAGTCCTATTCTGTTCCTTCCGGAAACATTTGCAATTCTTTTCTGCCCTGAGGAATCAAAATGATGACTATCACTGTACAGTTCATAACTGAAAAGAGGACTTTTAATTTGTGCATACAGTTGAAGAACCACCACCTCAAACTGCCTGAAAAAAAAAAATAATCATCCCCTATAATATTTTTAATTAAATTTTTACTTTATTAGTACTTTTTCAAGGGAGACAACTTTTACTTCTAATTTAGGCAAGCAAAAGGACACTGAGAATTACACATTAAAGTACATCTTGTACAATATTAAGACTAAATAAATAGATCCTATTTTAGCTAAGGATCATGTATTAACAATAGTCAGTTATATGAAATAAAAGCATAGTGCCTCCAAAAAAGTCCATTAATCTAGCAAGAGAAAAGAACAGTTAAGTTTAATTCAGGAACACTATTAGATTCAGGTAACAAAGACCTCAACAAAGGCTGCATTAAGATGAAGTACATCAGAAGGTTATGCTTTTGCAATCCTTCCCAGGATCCGAGAGCTACCACAGAACAGCAGGAAACTGAACATAAAACATACTGTTCTTTATCTAAGCTAAATAGTTTTGTTCTTCATGTTCAAAGATTCCCAAAAGCAATCAAAGTGCTGGTCTTTGTCCAGCAACTAAACAAGCACACTGTATGACTTGGGAGATCATCAAAATATTCCTGGAGTAGAGCTGCAGAAATATTGGAATGCAAATAGCCTTCAATGCCGAGCTCTGGTAAGAGAAGTCCCTGTTGTTCTTTGCATACCTCTTGCCTGAGTCTTCCTGTGACTTCCAATCAGTTATTCTAATCTGAACACACACATGAATTCATGGCCTGAATGCATTAGGAAGCACTGATAGCTTGTGCTCGTTTTGTGTCACAAGTGAGTCAAAGGCATTTCTCAACCAGCTAGTCAATAATATCCTGTGACTGTTGTGTTTCACAAGGACAATTCACTGCAGCCATAGATTAACAGCACAATAACTCTTAAATCTGTATGTTTACAAATAAGAAACTCAACCTCAATTTTGAAAATTATCTATTAAAAGAATTAATATTAGAATTTATGTGATTGTATCAACAGCTGTAAGAGTCAAGTACAGTTCAGTGGTGGTTCTTTAAAGTTGGGGGGAAATTAGTTTTTACATAAAAAGGATACAATTATCTGTAAATAACTTTTTTTTTCATCAGAAGTGCTGAGTAGGATCTGCCCTCCTAAACTAAGATATTGCTGAGTCCAGTATTTAATTAAAAAAACTTGCAACATCAGTACCTTGAAAGGCCAACAAGCTAGTAAAATGTTATCTCCCTGACTAATACTTGCAGCAAGTTATGTACTAGTCTCATTAAAATAAAATAAATGCAGAAACCAACAGAAATCAAGCAGACACGCCCACAAATTATCCATCTGACACCTAGAAACATGGTACCAATGAGGACTCTAATGATAGCAGTTTTTTTTGTATATATACACTGGATATACACAATCAAAAACCTCTGCATTAAGTTGATGGAAAAATCTGAATTCAGACATATTCTCCTATTCATTAATGACTGATTTAAGAAGTGCTTCTATGGCACTACTTGAGGAGTAAACCCAATTATGCACAAGTAAATGAATTTCCCTAGCTGTAAAGATAAAAAAAGAGTTGTCATTTAACTTCATTATCTTTACCAAAAGTGTCATTTCATCAACTCTTTACAAAAACGTAACCACAGTATCAGCACCCCTCTTTAGAGAATTAGTTTTACTGTAATCAAGTTTTCTAGAACTTGCTTCAACTGTTTTTTAAGCCTGCAATGTGTCAACTATACCATCTTCTTAAATTACAACTATAGCATCTTCTTAAATTACAACCTATATTACCCAATCAATTTTCAGAGACTATAAAGTGGCTA